CAGTATCACTACAGAAGTAGGATTGCCCAACCTTCCTTCCGAGGAGTGGCTGGTGGGTTTGAACCGCCAGCCGTCTGATTAGCAGGCAAGTGTCTACAAGAAACTCATTTTAGATCCAAAGTCACAAATAAGTTGAAAGTAAAAGGATGGAAAAAGATATTCCATGCACAGTAATCAAAAGAGAGCTGGAGTGGCAGTACAAATATCAGACAAAATAAAGAATTTAAGATTGTTTTTTCATGAGGGACATTATATAACGATAAAAGGGTCAATCCATCAAGAAGATATAAAAATTACCAACATATGTACCTAACAAAAGAACCACAAAATACATGAAACATAAAATGATAGAATTGAAGGGAGAAATAGATAGCTCAACAATATTAGAGTCTCAACAGCTTAATTTCAATAATGTATAGAACAACTAGACAAAAGGTAAACAAGGAAATACAAGACTTAAACAATACTATAAACCAACTACACCTAACAGACATCTATAGAACACTTCACCAAACAGCAGCAGAATACACATTATACTCAAGTTTCCATGAAACATTCTCTAAGATGGACCATATGTTAGTACATAAAATAAGTCTCAATTAACTTTAAAATCTGAACTCATATAAAGTAAATTATCCATATACAATTGAGTGAAATTAGAAATTTGTAACTATAGGAAAACTGAAAAATTCACAAATATGTGGAAATTAAACAGCACACCAATGAATCAAACAAGATATCACAAGGGAAATTACAAAATACTTTGAGATGAAAGAAAACAAAAACGTAATATATCAAAACTTATGGGATACAGCAAAAACAGTGCTCACAGTGAAATTCATACCTGCAAATGCCTACATTTTTTTAAAAAATACCAAAGTAATCACCTAACCTCCCACCTTAAGAAACTAGTAAAAGAAAATAAAAGTAAACCCAAAAGCAAACAGAAGGAAAGAAATAATGAAGATCATAGTAAAGATAAAATAGAAAGCAAAGAACTAAGAAAATTAACAAAACTAAAAGTTGGTTCTTTTGAAAGACCAATAAAATTGAGAAACCTGAGCTAGACGGATCAAGATAAAAAGAGAGAAGACTAAAATTACTAAAATCAGGAATGAAAGTGGCATTATTACATACCTTACAAAAGTAAAAAGAATTTTAAGAGAATACTATAAACAATTAGACTTCAACAAGATAGACTCTTAGCCATAACCAAACACCTTGAGGGAATGACTCACGGGGCTTGCGGGCTCAGCACCATTGTCTTGAGGGACATCAGTGTCAATTGACACAACATAGTCCACAAAAACAATGTTCTACATTCTACTTTGGTGAGTATTGGCTGGAGTCTTAAAAGATTTGAGTGGTCATCTAAAGTGCAAATACTGGTCTCTCCCTGTCCAGAGCAAAGAAGAATGAAGAAAGTCAAAGATGCAAGGAAACAATTAGTCCAAAGGACAAATGGACCACATGCACCCCAGCCTCCAGGCTTTTCTGTGTGGGTTTGAACCACCAACTTTTTGGCCAGCAGTCGAGGGCTTAACCATCTGCAACACCCATGGACTCACTTTAAACCAGTTGCCATAGAGTCAATTCTGACTCATTGTGACCCCGTGTGTATTGGAGTAGAACCGTACCCCATAGGATTTTCAATGGCTGTGATCTTTCAGAAGTAGATCACCAGGCCTTTCTTCTGAGACACCTCTGGGTGGATCCCGACCAATTAGAAGCTGAGCACATATGACAATATTAATTCCACTCCTAGGTATATATCCAAGAGAACTGAAACCAGGGACTGAAACAGATACTTGTATAGGAATATTCAATACAGTATTATTCACAATAACCCAAATTTTGAAACAACCCAAAAGTCTATCAACTAACAACAACATACAAAATGGCATATCCATACAACGGACTATTATTCAGCTACAAAAAGGATTGAAATTCTTACACACGTTACATCATGGATGAACTTTGTAAACATCATGCTAAATGATAGAAGTCAGACACAAAAGGCCATATACTGTAAGATTACATTGATATAAAACATCCAGAATAGGCAAATCCATAAAGACAGAAAGCATATTAGTGAGATGTGGGAAGACAGAAATGGAGGAGTGGCTGCTTAATGGGTAGGGACCTCTTTTGGAAGGTTAATTAGGCAAGAAAATTAAATAAAAGTCATCTAGAAAGGAAGACCTATGAATTGTTCTGGAATTACATAGTGTTGATAGTTGCACAACATCGTGAATGTATTAAAAGCCACTTAATTATTTCTTTTATAATTATTAAAATGGAGGATTATCTTTTATGTGAATTTTATCTCAGTTTTTCTTAAAAATGTTTTTCTTTAACTGCAAACCGCTGTGAAATGAGGTTGTATTTCATTTTAAATTGCTTGTGTCCAATAACCTGTTACTCTTTAAAAAATAAAATGTTTTAATCACACACACACACACACACACATAACAATCTCCATTTGACAAGGCTGCCTAACATCTCAGATATGAGTGCAGGAAAGGAAGATCCCAGAAGTAAATCTAATGGCCACCTTTTAGGTTATTTCATTATGATTCAGTGGTTGGAGACCCACAAAATATGATCAAACTGGTCTGCTACACGCTCTCTCAAGACCAACATCTGAACAAAAGAGTCCATCAAATCAAGCGATGTTCTTTCATTTTACTCTATCTGATTTCAGTCCACTAAGATGCTACATTTCAATTGTGTGTGTACTCCCTGATTGTACTATCTCCAGATAACACAATCTGTGAGAGGCTTTTCTCTCATGGCTACTTCATAGTTCATATAATGAGTTTGAATAAACAGCTAAAGAAAGCTTCACCGCTTTTTAAAATAACTTTTTAATTATTATTTTAGAAAACGCTCTTTGTAGAGTTTGGAAACAACAGAAAAAGTGGCATCATACTGTACATTCCATTATTGTATTTGTTTCTGAAGTAGAATCTTCAAAGCAAGTTGGGAACTTCTGCCCTATAATCATTATCCAAAATCATTTACTGTACCTCTGATTATGTAGAAAACGTCTGAGTACCTACACACAGGCGACATTTACAGTTAAATGCACCTGGGCTTAAGTCTTGGCTCTGCCACTTACTAGATGTGTGACACAGGTCCAGTTAGTTCATTAAATCTCAGTTTACTCATCTGTGTGGGTGAGTAAGGTATAGGATCATAGTCACACCAAACTCACAGGGCAATTGTGAGGGTTAAATGAGGTGATGCACACGAAGTACTTAACAAAAAGCCTAGTATATGAAGCATGATGGGAAAGGCAGAAGAACATTTGTGAACCTGCAGGGAGCTGGGCATAAACCACCGATGTGTGCATTAACGTTCTCTCCCAAGTCAGTGATTCAGATTCTTGGCACATCTTTAGGAATGGTGATCCTCTGGAGGGATTACTGAAACTCTAAGGCACAAATTTGATTGAAAGTGTTAAACCCCATAGTCATAACACTATCAAACAAATATTTTGAAATATTGATTAAATTTTTACTGCCACAGAATAATAATTTATAAAGATACCCTCAAAATGAAAGTCAAGGGAAAAAAATGAAAGTCAAGGCTAAATACATATTGAAATTTTACCAAAAATAAAAACTTAATAGCTAACATTTATAAATTTAAAAAATAAATAAAAATAACACCTAGCACCTAAGTAGGAGCTCTGGTAGTGTAGTGCCTAAGGCACTTGACTGCTAACCAGAAGGCTGGCGGTTCAAACCTACCAGCCACCCCTCAGAAGGAAGATGGGGCAATCTACTTCCATAGTGATACTGCCTCGGAAACCCAAGGAGAGGTGGCTATGAGTCGGGTCCTACTACGGCACATAACAACAACAACAACAGCAACTATCACAAAGATGGAAAGTTAATTACATAATTCACATTGCCCATATGAATCAAAACAAACCAATTGCTTGGCTATTTCAGTTATTGATAACATAAATTTTCTTCTGATTTCTCATAAAATCATTGCTTTTATATGATAAACGCCTTCAAAAATATTTTACAGTAAATGTAAAATGAGATTCATTTTGTAATATGTTCATTGATGTAGCTTTATGGCATAAAGCTAAAGTAAAGATTAGTGGATTAATTCTAAGAGAAACTGAGATGATTTGGTCTAGGTCTCAAGCTTTGGTAATCTATTTTAATTGAATGGAAAAAAATTGTATATTTGGAAAAAACAAGAGATTATCTTCCAAAAATATTTCTTACAATTAAATTTAGATAAGTGTTAGGCAGTAGAGACCTCACGACTATAATCTTTTGACACCTACAATGCCTCTAATATTACCTCTGTGTCTTTAAGAAAAGTACCTCTGACGTCATTTTAGGAAAGTTCTGGAAGCTTCAGGTCACATGACTGAATAGGAAGCCTAATTATACTGCTCCAACAGGTGGATCATGGAGTACGCTAAGGGAGAGGCTCCAGATTCCCCAGGAAAGAATTCAACACCAACAGTTTCAACATCAGAAGTACCAAGCAACCAAGATGCCCAGATTCTCGTTGCCCACGACACTGAAGCTGCCTGCGACCACGGCACAGAAACTGCCAGCGACCATGGCGCCCAGATTCCTGTGGACCACGACTCCCCAATTCTTGGTGCCCAGATTCCTGTCGACCACAGCACCCCGATTCCTGGAGCCCAGATTGATGTCGACAGCAGTGCCCAAGCTGCTGCCCCAACCACTGGAGAAAACGTACTAGACTGGAACGGTAGGTGGTTCAAACATTTTTCAACCAGCTGGGGCCCCTCTTTGGGAGAGGTGACCTACTACTAGAAGTTCTTTGAACTGAGATCACCTTTAAGAAAAATAAGTGGCGTAACTTGTGTTTCTCTCTAATGGAAGTAAAGTAGTGACTGTTGAGAGGGCAGTGGTAAATTCTGTCAGAGTCGCTTGGGTGCCGGTTGTATTAATTTCATGTGAATTGTTGTATTTGTCTCCAGACGAGGTCGCCTCACCAAGGGAAAAGTCAGTCCAAACGAATGTACTCGAGGGGCAACTAAATGTGCCCTTCCTTGGTACAAATTTCACTGGTTATATGAGTAGCCCTGATGGTGGCCTCTGGGTTAGGGTACTTGGTGCTGAAGCCTTGGTCCGGTTCCACGAGGTCCCTGCAGGCCCCGCCCCTCAGCGCCGAGTCCCGCCTTCC